GTTCTCAGTCCTGGTCTGGTCCCAGTCTGGTCCCGGACCTGGTTCAGTTCTGGTTCAGACCTGGTTTAGGTCTTGGTTTAGTCGTGATTTAGGTCCTGGTTCAGGTCCTGGTTCAGTCCTGGTTCAGTCCTGGTTCAGGTCTTGGTTTAGGTCTTGGTTTAGTCCTGGTTTAGACCTGGTTTAGGTCTTGGTTTAGTCCTGGTTTAGACCTGGTTTAGTCCTGGTTCAGTCCTGGTTTAGACCTGGTTTAGGTCTTGGTTTAGACCTGGTTTAGTCCTGGTTCAGACCTGGTTTAGACCTGGTTTAGGTCTTGGTTTAGACCTGGTTTAGTCCTGGTTCAGACCTGGTTTAGACCTGGTTACCTGGTTTAGACCTGGTTTAGGTCTTGGTTTAGACCTGGTTTAGGTCTTGGTTTAGACCTGGTTCCTGGTTCAGTCCTGGTTTAGACCTGGTTTAGTCCTGGTTCAGACCTGGTTTAGACCTGGTTTAGGTCTTAGGTTTAGACCTGGTTTAGTCCTGGTTCAGTCCTGGTTTAGACCTGGTTTAGTCCTGGTTCAGACCTGGTTTAGACCTGGTTTAGGTCTTGGTTTAGACCTGGTTTAGACCTGGTTTAGTTCTGGTTTAGACCTGGTTTAGTCCTGGTTTAGACCTGGTTTAGACCTGGTTTAGGTCTTGGTTTAGACCTGGTTTAGACCTGGTTTAGACCTGGTTTAGACCTGGTTTAGACCTGGTTTAGGTCTTGGTTTAGACCTGGTTTAGACCTGGTTTAGTTCTGCTTTAGACCTGGTTTAGTCCTGGTTCAGACCTGGTTTAGACCTGGTTTAGGTCTTGGTTTAGACCTGGTTTAGACCTGGTTTAGTTCTGGTTTAGTCCTGGTTCAGACCTGGTTTAGACCTGGTTTAGGTCTTGGTTTAGACCTGGTTTAGACCTGGTTTAGTTCTGGTTTAGTCCTGGTTCAGACCTGGTTTAGACCTGGTTTAGGTCTTGGTTTAGACCTGGTTTAGACCTGGTTTAGTTCTGGTTTAGTCCTGGTTCAGACCTGGTTTAGACCTGGTTTAGGTCTTGGTTTAGACCTGGTTTAGACCTGGTTTAGTCCTGGTTTAGTCCTGGTTCAGACCTGGTTCAGACCTGGTTTAGACCTGGTTCAGACCTGGTTTAGACCTGGTTTAGACCTGGTTTAGTTCTGGTTTAGTCCTGGTTTAGTCCTGGTTTAGTCCTGGTTCAGACCTGGTTCAGACCTGGTTTAGACCTGGTTCAGACCTGGTTTAGACCTGGTTTAGACCTTGTTTAGTCCTGGTTAGACCTGGTTTAGTCCTGGTTCAGACCTGGTTTAGACCTGGTTTAACGAGTTTCAGACTTATTATTTCCAAGGAGAAGATTTTAATTTTGAAATCTTTAATTCAGACTTGAAGCTCGTCGTGTAAACGTGGCTCGTGTCAACACAAAGATTCAGAAATGAGGTCGTTAATAGTACAGTTCTAATTTCTTAGCTCATATTTAAAGCTGCACTGTGTAACTTTTCTGGCGGAGGATCCATCGGCGCTTTACTCCACGGAGACCAGACCAGCACGGCTCCGGGTCAGATCTGCGGAGAGGCGAGAACCCGCCCCCGTAACTGAATAAATGCCAAGTGGAGCCGTTTGAAGTCACACCGCGGGACATTCCGGGCGGAGCGGCGACGTCTCCGCGGAAACGAGCAGGTGACGGACTCCCCGGGAGAAAAGTTCCAGAGTGCAGCTTTAAACGTTTGAAGAGCGGAGAGAGAGAGAGTTTAGAGCGAAAGAGGAGACTGACCTTCCCCTGTTTGATGACTCGCTTCACCGCGTCAGAAACCATCTGAGAATGAAACTCCAGACTGAACGAGGGAAGAGAGAAGAGAGAGAGAAAAGGGGGATAGGGAGAGAGAAAGACAGAAGATAAAGAGAGAATAGAGAGATGGGGGAGAGAGCAGGAGAAGAGGAGAAAAGAGAATAAAAAAGGAGATGAGAGGAGAAAAGAGGAGAGAGAGAGAGAGAGAGAGAGAGAGAGAGAGAGAGAGAGAGAGAGACAGAGAGAGAGAGAGAGAGACAGAGAGAGAGAGAGAGAGAGAGAGAGAGAGAGAGAGAGAGAGAGAGAGAGAGAGAGAGAGAGAGAGCAGAGAGAGAGACAGAGAGAGAGAGAGAGAGAGAGAGAGAGAGAGAGAGAGAGAGAGAGAGAGAGAGAGACAGAGAGAGAGAGAGAGACAGAGAGAGAGAGAGAGAGAGAGAGAGAGAGAGGAGAGAGAGAGAGAGAGAGAGAGAGAGAGAGAGAGAGAGAAGAGAGAGAAGAGAGAGAGAGAGAGAGAGAGACAGAGAGAGAGACAGACAGAGAGAGAGAGACAGAGAGAGAGACAGAGAGAGAGAGAGAGAGAGAGAGAGAGAGAGAGAGACAGAGAGAGAGATAGACAGAGAGAGAGAGAGAGAGCAGAGAGAGAGAGAGAGAGAGAGAGACAGAGAGAGAGAGAGACAGAGAGAGAGAGAGAGAGAGAGAGAGAGAGAGAGAGAGAGAGAGAGAGAGACAGAGAGAGAGACAGAGAGACAGAGAGAGAGAGGAGAGAGAGAGAGAGAGAGAGAGAGCGCACATGTGAGTAGGAGCCTCCATGGGCCAAACAGAACCGTTCTAAACTTCTAAAGGTCTAGACGAGTCTTAAAGCCGTGGTGGTCGCGGTCGCGGGGGTCGTCTCCTTGGTCACGATGGTCGTGGTCGCGGCGGTCTCGGTCGTGGTGGTGGTAGCGGTGGTCGCAGTCGCGGTGTCGCAGTCGAGGTCGCGGTGGTCGTTGTCGAGGTCGCGGTGGTCGTTGTCGAGGTCGCGGTGGTCGTTGTCGAGGTCGCGGTGGTCGTTGTCGAGGTCGCGGTGGTCATTGTCGTCGTGGTCTTGTTGGTCGTGATTGTGGTGGTCGTGGTCGCGGTGACCATGGCGGTCGCAGTGATCGCAGTCATGGTGGTCGCGGTGGTGATGATCGTGGTGGTCGCGGTCATGTGGTCGCAGTCGTGTGATCGTTGTGGTCACAGCTGTGGTGGTCTCAGTCATGTGGTCGCGGTGTTAGTTGAGGTCGTGGCCGTGGTGGTCGCGATCGTGGTAATCGTTGTGGTCGCGGTCGTGTGGTCGCGGCCGTGTGGTCGTGGTGATCGTTGTGGTCGCGGTCATGTGGACGCGGTCGCGGTGATCGTTCTGGTCGCAGTCGTGTGGTCGCGGTGATCGTTGTGGTCACGGCTGTGGTGGTCGTGGTTGCGATGGTCACGGTCGCCGTGGTCTCGGTCGTTGTCGTGGTCGCAGTGGTCACGGTGGTCACGGTCGTTGTAGTCGCGGTGATCGTGGTCGCGGCGATCGCGGTCAGACTCACTTGAGGTGCCGCAGCATGTTGGCGGCGCTCAGTAACATGGCGGTCGGGTTGGCGATGTTCCTCCCCATGGCCTGAGCGAAGGGATGACGCGCCCCCTGCAGGACACGGAACACACCGCAGTCAGTACACCACGTTCTACTGTTCTGATGTTCTACTGTTCTAGTTCTGATGTTCTACTGTTCTGACGTTCTACTGTTCTGATGTTCTACTGTTCTGACGTTCTACTGTTCTGACGTTCTACTGTTCTGATGTTTCTATGTTCTGATGTTCTACTGTTCTGATGTCTACTGTTCTACTGTTCTGCTGTTCTGACGTTCTACTGTTCTACTGTTCTGCTGTTCTGATGTTCTGACGTTCCACTGTTCTGACGTTCCACTTGTTCTGATGTTCTACTGTTCTGACGTTCTAACTGTTCTGATGTTCTGCTGTTCTGACGTTCTGATGTTGTGCTGTTCCACTGTTCTAACTGTTCTGACGTTGTGCTGTTCTTACTGTTCTGCTGTTCTGATGTTCTGACGTTCCACTGTTCTGACGTTCCACTGTTCTGACGTTCCACTGTTCTGATGTTCTACTGTTCTGACGTTCTACTGTTCTGATGTTCTGCTGTTCTGACGTTCTGATGTTGTGCTGTTCTACTGTTCTACTGTTCTGACGTTGTGCTGTTCTACTGTTCTGCTGTTCTGACGTTCCACTGTTCTGACGTTCCACTGTTCTGATGTTCTACTGTTCTGACGTTCCACTGTTCTGATGTTCTACTGTTCCTCTGTTCTGATGTTCTACTGTTCTGACGTTCTACTGTTCTGATGTTCTACTGTTCTGATGTTCTACTGTTCTGACGTTCTACTGTTCTACTGTTCTGCTGTTCTGATGTTCTGACGTTCCACTGTTCTGACGTTCCACTGTTCTGACGTTCCACTGTTCTGATGTTCTACTGTTCTGAACGTGTTCTGCTGTTCTGACGTTCTGATGTTGTGCTGTTCTACTGTTCTACTGTTCTGACGTTGTGCTGTTCTACTGTTCTGCTGTTCTGACGTTCCACTGTTCTGACGTTCCACTGTTCTGATGTTCTACTGTTCTGACGTTCCACTGTTCTGATGTTCTACTGTTCTGATGTTCTACTGTTCTGATGTTCTACTGTTCTGATGTTCTACTGTTCTGATGTTCTGATGTTCTACTGTTCTGATGTTGTGCTGTTCTGACGTTCTACTGTTCTGATGTTCTACTGTTCTGATGTTGTGCTGTTCTGATGTTCTACTGTTCTGATGTTCTGCTGTTCTGATGTTGTGCTGTTCTGATGTTCTACTGTTCTGACGTTCTACTGTTCTGACGTTCTACTGTTCTGACTGTTCTGATGTTCTATGTTCTACTGTTCTGATGTTCTACTGTTCTGATGTTCTGCTGTTCTGATGTTCTACTGTTCTGATGTTCTACTGTTCTGATGTTCTGCTGTTCTGATGTTCTACTGTTCTGATGTTCTGCTGTTCTGATGTTCTACTGTTCTGACGTTGTGCTGTTCTACTGTTCTGATGTTCTGACGTTCTACTGTTCTGACGTTCTACTGTTCTGTTCTGACGTTCTGACTGTTCTGACTGTTCTGACTGTTGCTGATGTTCTGTTCTGTTCTGTTCTGAACTGTTCTGATGTTCTACTGTTCTGACTGTTCTACTGTTCTGATGTTCTACGTTCTACTGTTCTGATGTTCTACTGTTCTGATGTTCTACTGTTCTGATGTTCTACTGTTCACTCTGCATTATTCGTCTGTCTACATCTCCAAAGCTCCAGACGCTCTGCTCCACCTCGTGATGTCATCAAGTGGTAGTTTTCTGAACTGGGACTAAACCAGGACTAAACCAGGACTAAACCAGGACTAAACCAGGACTAAACCAGGTCTAAACCAGGTCTAAACCAGGTCTAAACCAGGTCTAAACCAGGACTAGGGGTGTTATGGCGTGATATCGTGTTGGCGTGTGATGGCGTTACATGTTGGCGTGATATCGTGTTGGCGTGATATCGTGTTGGCGTGATGGCGTGTGGCGTTGGTGTGATTGGCGTGATATGGCGTGATATCGTGTTGGCGTGATATCGTGTTGGCGTGATATCGTGTTGGCGTGATGACGTGTTGGCGTGATGACGTGTTGGCGTGATGACGTGTTGGCGTGATTATGTTGGCGTGTTGGTGTGATGGTGTGACGGCGTGATATGACGTGTTGGCGTGATGACATGTTGGCGTGATATCGTGTTGGCGTGTTGCGTGATGACGTGGTCGTGATGTGTTGGCGTGATGGCGTGTGATGGCGTGACGTGTGATGTCGTGTTGGTGTGATGACGTGTTGGCGTGATGACGTGTGATGTCGTGTTGGTGTGACGGCGTGATATCGTGTTGGCGTGATGACGTGTTGGCGTGATATCGTGTTGGCGTGATGACGTGTTGGCGTGATATCGTGTTGGTGTGATGACGTGTTGGTGTGACAGCGTGATATCGTGTTGGCGTGATATCGTGTTGGCGTGATATCGTGTTGGCGTGATATCGTGTTGGCGTGATATCGTGTTGGCGTTATGACGTGTTGCCGTGATATCGTGTTGGGGTGGCGTGATGGCGTGACGAGTGATGGCGTGACGTGTGATGGCGTGGCGTGATATCGTGTTGGCGTGATGTCATGTTGGCGTGATGTGTGATGGTGTGATGTCGTGTTGGCGTGATGACGTGTTGGCGTGATATCGCGTTGGCGTGATGGCGTGATATCATGTTGGCGTGATATCGTGTTGGCGTGATATCGTGTTGGCGTGATATCGTGTTGGCGTGATATCGTGTTGGCGTGATGACGTGTTGGCGTGATATCGTGTTGGCGTGATATCGTGTTGGCGTGATGACGTGTTGGCGTGATGACGTGATGACGTGTTGGCGTGATGGCGTGATATCGTGTTGGCGTGATATCGTGTTGGCGTGATGACGTGTTGGCGTGATATCGTGTTGGCGTGATGGCGTGATATCGTGTTGGCGTGATGACGTGTTGGCGTGATGACGTGTTGGCGTGATGGCGTGATATCGTGTTGGCGTGATGGCGTGTTGGCGTGATGACGTGTTGGCGTGATGACGTGTTGGCGTGATATCGTGTTGGCGTGATATCGTGTTGGCGTGATGACGTGTTGGCGTGATGACGTGTTGGCGTAATATCGTGTTGGCGTGATGACGTGATGACGTGTTGGCGTGATGACGTGTTGGCGTGATGACGTGTTGGCGTAATATCGTGTTGGCGTGATGACGTGAGGACGTGTTGGCGTGATGACGTGTTGGCGTGATGACGTGTTGGCGTGATATCGTGTTGGCGTAATATCGTGTTGGCGTGATGACGTGTTGGCGTGATGACGTGTTGGCGTGATGGCGTGACGTGTGATGGCGTGATATCGTGTTGGCGTGATATCGTGTGGCGTGACGTGTTGGCGTGATGACGTGTTGGCGTGATGGCGTGACGCGTGATGGCGTGACGTGTGATGGCGTGATATCGTGTTGGTGTGATGGCGTGTTGGCGTGATGGCGTGACGTGTGATGGCGTGATATCGTGTTGGCGTGATATCGTGTTGGTGTGATGGCGTGTTGGCGTGATATCGTGTTGGCGTGATATCGTGTTGGCGTGATGGCGTGTTGGCGTGATATCGTGTTGGCGTGATATCGTGTTGGCGTGATTGGCGTGACGTGTGATGGCGTTGATGTGGCGTGATATCTTGTTGGCGTGATATCTTGTGTGATATCGTGTTGTGATGATATCGTGTTGGCGTGATGGCGTGTTGGCGTGATATCGTGTTGGCGTGATATCGTGTTGGCGTGATATGGCGTGTTGGCGTGATTGGCGTGATATCGTGTTGGGGTGGCGTGATGGCGTGATGGTGTGATGTCGTGTTGGCGTGATGGCGTGTGATGGTGCAAGATGGTGTGGCGGCGTGGCGTGTTGGTGTGGCGGCGTGGCGTGTTGGTGTGGCGGCGTGATATATCGTGTGGCGGCGTGTGCGTGTTGGTGTGGCGGCGTGATATCGTGTGGCGGCGTGGCGTGTTGGTGTGGCGGCGTGATGGTGGGCGTGGCGTGTTCGTGTGGCGGCGTGATATCGGTGTGGCGGCGTGGCGTGTTGGCGGCGTGGCGTG